AATATTTAGATATGGTTAAAACTTAAAAACAGAAATATGTCTATAAAATAGAGCTCTACTAGAGTTATCTAATCTACTATCTACTAATTATATACATAATTTAAACTTCACCGCTGATTTCGGTAATGCTAAACACATAACGGGTTGTTTAGAACAAAGGCTAGTAACTCAATAATTACATTTTTGTTAATAACATCATTAAAATAAAATATTTTCAATAGATTTTTTAACTGAAAGTCTATTTCACTATTTTTTCATCAAATAATGAAGAAAATAATAGCAATATTTTAACTAGGTTGGTTTTTACGAGTTGATTTCGGTAATGCTAAACACATAACGGGTTGTTTAGAACAAAGGGAAGTAACTCAATAATTACATTTTTGTTAATAACATCATTAAAATAAAATATTTTCAATAGATTTTTTAACTGAAAGTCTATTTTACTATTTTTCATCAAATAATGAAGAAAAAATAGCAATATTTTAACTAGGTTGGTTTTTACGAGTTGATTTTCGGTAATGCTAAACACATAACGGGTTGTTTAGAACAAAGGGAAGTAACTCAATAATTACATTTTTGTTAATAACATCATTAAAATAAAATATTTTCAATAGATTTTTTAACTGAAAGTCTATTTCACTATTTTTCATCACATAATGAAGAAATAATAGCAATATTTTAACTAGGTTGGTTTTTACGAGTTGATTTCGGTAATGAAAAGTTGATTTCGGTAACTTTACCGAAATCAAGTTGATTTCGGTATCGTAACGTACCCTAAATAAACCCCTGCAGATATGTGTCAATAGTTTCAGTGTCATGTATTTTCGCGATTTTATAGATTTATCATTATTCAGTTCTATTAATTTGTAAATCTTGTCCAAATTATTGTATATTTAACATCTGACGTAGAATTTAATGTCAAGTCACTGTTGTATTTTTGGGCTTTGGAAACATCATTTTTGATGATGGCAAGATAAAAAGAGTGGGTGGACCAACGCTCAGCGTAACAATACTATATTTGATATGACAAATTTAAATCAACGTCAACAAAACCTCAATGTTATATGTCCATTTTCAAGACCGATGTAATATGAAATTAGGCAAAGCCTATGCACGGGAAGTCGTTAATATGAAAAAGGCAAAACCTCAAAGCGAGCTCGATGTACTTTTAACGTGAAATAGTATGAAATAATCGCTCATTTTATTTCAAATGCAGTGACGAGTGCGTGTAACGTCACATGTACTGTGTTAAATATGGCTCCGCCCCTGTCGTTAAATGAATAATGAGTTTTTAAAACGTTGATAAAACTTTGTTTGTTTATTTTATTTCACTCTATAATTTTTCAAGCGAAATTAAGATTATTAAAAGTGAAATAAATGTAAAACTTAAAACGTTTGCGACATTAAAATAGCGTACTTGATTTGATTGTTTTGCACGTGCTGTTTGGCGCTACATTGTGACGTCATGTAAACAATACTTTAAACGTCTGTGCAGCGTTAACGTCTGAATAAAAGATACTGGTGTTCGGATTCATTTTCTTAGTGAGACCATTTTCTTTCATGCTAGATAGTTTTCACAACAAAATTCGACAAAAAATTGTTTTTATTTTTCAAACAAAATGGCGCCTTTAATTTTCATTTTACATTTTCCGATTGAAAACTGTCATTCGATATTTTATACACAGCTTCCGTTATTTTGGTTCCTTGTCCAATTATGGTCTCCATAGACGTGCGCGGGTGACCAGTCTACACATCCGTTTTTCAGTCAGAATTCCTCAGTTTTTATCGTTATCTTTAAATTCGAAAAGTTGGGATGTGTCCAGTTCGGTACTTCGACGAAAGTTTTCAAAACCATCACTTAGCAGGTACTCGCGTTACCGTAAAAGCTCGCTTTGCAAGCAGGCCCTTCGGGCCAGCTCGTCGAGCTCGCTAAAAATTCCTTTCATTCTTTCCGTTTTAAAGGTGTCATTCAGTCAAACTCCTCGCAGTGATTACCTCCCTTGGTAGAATTGTAATCACTGTCTTCAAAGACGTCACATGATGATGAAAGTCACATGACGTAACGTCGAAATTCAAATGTAAATATCGACCGTTAAAAAGAAAATCTAACGTTATTTTTCTCTTTCTGTTTTATTTTTAACTTTTAGTGCCTTCGTTTCTATATAGTTTATCAAAAAATAATGGAAAGTATACAAAATAACGAAAAATAAATTCAAAAGCTAAAAAATATAAAATATCAAAATATCGTCTCCGTAGAAAATAATCTCATAATTTTTAAAATTATTTCTAAATATTCATATTATTTATTTATTTATTCATAAAACATTGTTAAATAAATGAGAGAAAACTTATCTGATAGATAAAAGCAGTAGATAAAAACAATTTTTGAAAAAAATATAGTATATCAGAAATTCTGATATATCGGGACCTTGGTGGCAGAGATCTACGCCGAAGAATTAAGGGGAGATCACTGTGTGGAGATTGTCATTCGGTATTACATGCACCGCTTCCGTTTTCACTCGGAACACTCGACGTTTATTATTTATCCCAAAAGTTGATATTTGTTCCGTTATAGAATACCCCGCCTATTATCATTGAGTTACATTGTAAATGGCGGCGCCCGACTAGAACTGACACTGAAAATTTCATTGATAGGTATAGAATTCTATATTTTTAATTGTTTTTTTTTATTTGATTTTCTTTTAAATATACATGTGTAGTCTATAGCCAAGTAAGCCAAAGCCCAGGCCCACTTTGCGGGCCTGGTCTTTGACTTCCCTGTATTAAATAGCCATTGTGTAAAATTTGCTGATCACTTAAAGACGTACCTCAGGCAGGAGCTATAGATAACCAGAATAAACAAGTAAAGTTTAGTGAAATTGTACCATAGCGCGGCGTACAGAACTACATGATGCAGGTTTGTTTTTCAAATGAAGACTTTTTTTTATCTTATGAAGAAAATATATTGAATAAATAAGGTTCAACCAAATTAAGTTCATGCATTTACAAGTACCCAACTTTTAGTTTAAATTTTACAGCCCCCAGAACTCTAGTGTTAAAACATTTTAATAATTTATATGTTACAGATTTATATCGTGCTATTAGCATTGTCACGTGACTTCACCAGCAGTGAACTGCACCAAGATAAAATGATGGAAGATATAAATAAAAGCAAAGTTGACCTAAATCGGAGATAACTTAAAACATTTTCAGATATTCTAAAGAAATATTTTTTACGCCGAGCATTGGTATGCACCGAGCATTGGTCCAACCACTCTAATAATAACAGAGCTCTAGGGTTCACGGAATACATTGTATCTCATAGCTGTCTCTGGAGTCTGTTGAAGGAAGGACACTACTGGAAATAAATACTGCTGGTAATCCTTGACCACGCAATCCAAAGAAATTCAATTCAATGTATACAATGTATGCCTTATTCTTAGTGTCAATATTTCTACTGCAAGACCGACCGATTTCATAATCTGATATTTCACCAGTGTTTTTTTTTCACATTTTGGGGAAGGGGTCGGTGCCGTTTGGAGGGTATAAATGCAAAAGGAGGGGGATTAAATCACAGATGTCTGTCTTTACAAATAGTATCTTTTGCGAAGGGCGACCATTGTCTATATAATGAAAAAGCCATAAAGAGCACAATTTGTTGGGCTAGTCTTATGCCTTATTCTCACCAATTTGTGAATCAATTCATTTTTGACAACTTTGCTTAACAGTAAGTCTTACAGGCTTAAAATAAAACATTTTTCGCCAGTTATATGCAAAAAAAAATGTTATTCATTGCATGCAAATTTTGGCTGCCATATGGGGGGAAATTTCGGCTTTGAGAGGGGAAAAAACATACAATTTAAATTTTTGAGCGGGGGAATCAGGGGCCGATTTTCGCATAATATTTTGGTGTAAAAAACACTGTTTGTTAACTAAATAAATGTCTGAAAATTATAAAATCATAAATTGAAAATAAAAAAATAAAAAATAGTATGTTTTTCCCCCATAGAGATGTAAAAATTCCTCCTCAAAACATTTAAAGTGTTAAAGGAAAAAAATGAAAACTCATGTTTTTGAAAATTAAAATCCATCTTTTTGACGGCTATTTTGTAAGCAGAATATTGTTTACAGTAGTACTGTACATGTCTGCATGTTTCCGTTTGTTTTTTTTTTCCCAAAATCTACCGTCACATATTGGCCTTTCATCCTGTAAAAATGCTAAAATTTCAACAGAAATATGCAGAAAAAAATCACAATTCACATCAACAATTCGATTTCAAATTGTTTATTCATGAAATCATTTTTTTTTGTGTTCAAAATGTTACATCAACCACTGTAAATTTTGCTGTAAATTACAAACTTGTAAGTTTTGTTTTTATAATACTTGATGAAATAACTGGTGGAAAAGGATCTTATAATAAACAATAGATTTAATTAGTCCCATATAGGTTTAACCAGAGGGGACTTTAGGTTAACCCTCCGTCTGTCTGTCTGTCTGTCTGTCCTCAAAACTGGATCCCGGGATAAAGCAAAAAGTACTGAAAACATTTTTATGAAACTTGATATATGGATAGATGGCAGTATGGAGATTATGCATGTTTTTTTCTTTTCTTCCTATGTTGAAAATTCTGGTTAAATCTATGGCAACAAATAGTCTGAAATTATGGCAAATTTAACACATAAACTGGATCCAGTGATTACTCAAAAAGTACTGAAAATATTTTTATGTAACTTGAAATATGGGTAAATGGCAGTCTGGAGATTATGCTCATCTTTTTCTTTTCTTCCTATGTTGAACATTCTGGCTGCTATGGCAACAAATAGACTGAATTTCAAGATTTCTGATTTGAATTTTTAAGCTTTTTCACCTTAAGTTCTTGATTTCTTAAGGTGTTTACTTCAAACTTTAAATATAAGGTAAGATAAGATAAGATAAGTAAATTTTATTATAGTGACATTGTGTTATGTACATACATAATAACGATACATTTTTATTTTTACAACACCAGGCCACGTTGGGCCTACAAGTCACTTAATTATTTAATCATTTTCAAAAATATACAATTTATAACATAATTTAGATATTAACTAATTATATACATGCACGAACAAATAGTGATTTAAATGTTCTTGGACATAATAACATCTGCATTATAAGAGAAATAGGAAGTATACAAGTTTACTTTTTTCCAATTACTTTCGGTATCAAATCACATATATGATACATATACAGTTGTCATTCATGTACATATCATTAGAGCAAATACATTTACAACATTTTTTAATTAATTTCTGTACAGAGACATCCTTCTTCTGTTCATAGCTTCAACTAAAAATTTAGCCACATGCACATAATGATAATTGACAGCATATACTAACTTATTTACTTCAGACATATGTTCAAAATCAGGATTTCTATCTTTACATTTTGATAAAAGGTTCTCTCGTAAGTCATTATATTTAATGCAGTTTAAAAGAAAATGAGTCTCATCTTCTACAACATTAACTGGACAAAAATGACAAAATCTTTCGTTTACATTTAAACCGACATATCTTCCCGTTTCTATCTTTAATGGAAGTATACCACATCGGAATTGGGCTAAATGAGACCGTTCAATCTTAGTTAATGACGAAAGCAAATACTTTTCAGTATTATAATGTTGTTTGAATTCAATATATGTTCTAAGTTTGGCAACATTTCTAACATTATTACACCAATCCGTTTTATATTTAACAAACAATGCATCTTCAACATCTTTTAGGTTTACAGGTAACTTGTTTTCATAGTAATGTGACATTTGAATTTGTTGCAATATAGTCTTTACATCATAGCACCATGTTTTTCCGAAACAATTGTAGTCATAGGAGAACATTTTTTTTGGAAGCCTATCGTCCGGCATATTTACAAGTCGATTCCAAAATCGTAAAATGTTAACCCAACGTCTATGTTGAGTGGAAATCCAACCCATATCACCATTTATTGCTAATAATGGTGCAAATTTATGCACACCCATAAAATATCTTATTGCTCTGTTTTGCGTCATATCTATTTTGTTATAATATTTAAAACTCCATATTGAGGAACAGTAATCTATTACAGGAACAACACATGAATAGTACATTTTAGTAAATGTTTTAAAGCCAACATCTAATTATGTACTTTAGAAATAATTGCACCAAGTGCTCGGCCACCAGATTTAGACAACAATTCGGCAGTTTGAGTAAAATCTAAGTGCTCATGTAAATTAACACCCAAATATTTATACATATCCGTAAACAATACAAAACAATCGCCTATTCTAAATTGAAAATTACTTCTATTTTTACCCTTATTTCTGAAATGCACAACCTTTGACTTTTCAATATTGATAATAAGTCGCCATTTCCGACACCATTCATGAATATAATCTAACATGTCTTGCATATCTTGTTCATTCTCAGACAACAATAAAATGTCATCAGCATAAAACAAACAACAAAGTATATCATTATTAAACTGTACACCCTTGTTAAGAGTCTTTAAACCTTCAGCTAGATCGTTTATGAAGTAAGCAAAGATTGTTGGCGATCCGCTGTCTCCTTGCTTCACGCCAGACAGAGTCGGGAACCAGTCAGTTAACATACCGTTTAACTTAACACAAGACGATGTATCCGTCAAAATGGCCTTAATCGAGTTATAAAATTTTCCATTTATACTATTAGACAAGAGTTTATACAAAAGAATATCCCTATTGACAAAGTCAAATGCCTTTTTTATATCAATAAAAGTTCCAAATGTATCAAGTTTACTTAAAAGTCTATTTCTAATAATAGTACATGAGGTTATAAACATGGTCCTCACACGACCGTTTTGAACGAAATCCGTTCTGCTCATCAACAAGTAACTCTTGATCTTCTAAATGTTTCTTTAGATTATTATTTCACACAGCTGAATATAATTTGCTAACCACCGAGAGTAAACTTATTCCTCTGTAATTCAAGGGTAAACGTTTATCTTTAGTAATATCTTTTGGTATAGGGGCAATCATTGCTTTTCGCCATATACTTGGTATAATACCCGTATCAAAACACAAGCAAAAAAGTGAATGGAGTACATCTATTATGATTGGAAATTTTAACACTTCGCATGGAATTTTATCAAATCCCGTGCTTTTACAATTTTTGGCGGCTTTTACAACAATTTCAATTTCGTAACGATTCAATGGCAAATTAAGAGCAGGATTTTCTTCGAATAAGGGGTTGAGCATCTGATTTTCCATAAAGCGTTTTTCTCTTAGAATTTCCTCATAAAACTGGTTATCAAAATGATCACAATTTTCATTTACATTATATAGATCTTTAAAATCCCCAGACCATTTTTAAACACAAATTCACTATCGTGAATGAATTATCTCCATTATCATCATACACTTCACCTTTCGGCCCAAGATTTTTAATATGATCCCAGAATGCTCTAGGGTCATTTGTGCAAGTACTCTCAATGTCGATCGAAAGATTTCGCTTGTAGGCTCGTTCAGCGCGTCGTAACTGTTTATCGAACAGACGTCTTGTCTCGGTGAATTCACTTTGCAATCGTAGTCGCGTGCGTCGATCACCATGGAAACGCATGAAATTCCGCTCTGAGATGCAAACGGCCTGCCACAGTTGCTCAATATCGTCGTCCCAGTAAGGCTTAAACGATTTGTAGCGTTTACGGGTTTTCTTCGAACAGTCAAATGACGGTAATAAATGTTCATTCATTTCTTTTATTAAAGTATTACAAAATTGATCATAAATCAAATCAATATTGTGTTGATTTTCCCTACATAATTCAATATTACGTATCAAATTGCGAAATGCTGTTTTGGCCAAATTTGAAGACAAAAAGTCATCTGGAATTCGTTTTAACTTGTATATCCGTGTATTAAATGGTGGTCGTGACTGCTGATTGGCGGGATTGTTAGTCTCGTCTGTTATAGCGGTACTATAATTATATGTAAATCGTAAAATGTAGTGATCCGGTAATTTACTACGCTCTCCGATTAGACTCTTAAGATTATGCTTATCAAGAATCGATGCAGGGGAAATAACTTCAAAATTATCACAAGCATTAAAGCAGTCATGTGGAACACAAACGTAGTCAACAACAGATTTTCCGCGAACTGAACCTGACGTAAAAGTGTTTCTATCTTCATTAAACCGGCCATTTAAAACACACATCTTTGAGTCAATCAGAAAATCTACAAACGTCTGTCCATGCTGCTTAACACTCTTGTCAATACACTTTCTCAATGGTATACCGTCAATGTCCGAAATTATGTCCTGAAGTTCGCCGATCCTTGAATAATTATCCCCACAAACGAAAATAGCTTCACAATCAGATAAAAGATAAATTTGTCCGAGCAAATGAGCGTAAAAGTCTGTTGCGTTACGTCCCCATGGTGAGTTTTCCGGTGGTAAGTATACGGAGTAGACGATAATTTTATAATTTGTAGATTTTGCTGTGAACGAGAGTCCCAATATTCCATCATATGATTTGTCAATAACATCAACACGAAAATCATCAAACAAACAGTTTTTCACGAAAATTCCGACACCCCCTGAGCCTTTGGGTGCATTAACATGAGTTAACATTCTGTTATGTGAATAAAATCGGTAGCCTTCAAGAGCAATAGTTTGTGTGGCTTTTAAATGAGTTTCATTTACACAAATTATGTCAGATTTCATATGCAATAAGATTTGTGATCGAAGTTCATGATTTGATTCAGTCCTACCAGCAACATTTAAATGGGATACAGATATGGAATGTTCGTCTTCGATAAGCCGGGCGTTGGCTTATACCGGTGTAGCGGGTCCTCTTGATATGGGAACGCCATCGGCAGAAGCAGGCGTTTTCTTAACGATGCGTCCATTTCCAGTTACTCTGAATTGATTACCATTTGGTAATTCCGACAGTAAAGTTTTTGCATTCAGCTCAAGTATACGTTCGGTGTGAGTTTTACTTCCGTATACATACACACGCTTATATTCCGGCTTCGACATTAATCTCTTCTTTGAACGGAGTACCTCGATCTTTTGCTCGAGATTGTCAAAAGCAATTTTCAATAACGGGGTTTACCGGTATTCCTGTCTGAGCATCGACTCGCATCGGTAATTTTCACTTTGCTTGATAATATTATCACTACCGAGAGCAGAGATCAAATCTTTCGCGTCGTCTAACGGTTGTTTTCCTGGGCGCAACAATAAATTAGTAGCAATTACCGTGAGCTCACAGTTATTGACCGTTTTATCTTGCTTCAAGCCAGAAATAGATTTCAGTGAATTCAGCTCAGCTTCTAAGTCAGGAAATCTTTTGTCCCAACAGGCAATTTGTAGGTCAAAATCAACTTTCACTGCTTTTATTTTATCATCAATTGTTGCTAATACGTCCTTCCTCAATTTATCAATTTTGCTATCAAATGTCTTCTGGAGACTCTCTTGCCCCTTTTTTAAAACAGCAAGTACTTCCATGATTTTATCAAAACGTTCATTTACACTGCAATTTTCACTATCCGCCATTTTTGATTGTTTGTATAGGGGACTTACCCCACCCGGAGATTCTTTTGCTCTTTTTTTCTCTAAATTTGAACGAGTTTCACTCATTATATTTCATAGTAATTTGAAACAACTTACAGTCAACAAAAATAGTATCCAATAATAATTCAACAATTTATAATCACTTCTATTTCTCAATTTTATTCCATTTTTTACAATTGAAAATTTTTAACCACCATTTACTTCGAGCATGCGCACTACTTTTCTATAAGTTTCTGGTCATCAACCACATCATATGTGACAAGGTTTACAACTCTAGCACAAAAATTATCAGAATTACTTCCCTTGAACTTAGAATTTTTATGAAAAAAATGTTGTCTTTTTTAAATAACTTCTTTCTTTCTTAATGTATCTACTTCAAACTTCATATATATGTTTCTTATTATCACTCAACATTTTTGAGAAGGTTAAATACTCTAGCAAGACTATTTCCAGAATTATGTCCCCCTTGAACTTAGATTTTTTTCGAGAATTTTTTTTTTTTCTCCAACTTCTTCATTCCTTATAGGATTAACTTTAAAATCCCACATCATTATATAAATAATATGACAAGGTTTATAAATCTAGAATCCATATTTTCCAGAATTTTCTCCTCCTTAAACTTATAATTTTTCTTATTCATTTTTTATAACTTTCTAATTTTTAGCTCGACTATTCGAAGAATATGAGAGCTATTGTAGTCGCCCCGGCGTCGGCGTCAGCGTCCGCGTCGGCGTCTGCGTTGGTTAAAGTTTTTTGTAAAGTCAAATATCTCAATTATTGCTTGAGATATTCAATTGAAACTTACAATACTTATTTATAGTAACAAGGTACATCAGATTGACAAGTTGGATAACTCTGCCTACAATATTGACAGAATTATGCCCCTTTTTAACTTAGAAATTTTGGTTAAAGTTTTTTGTAAAGTCAAATATCTCAATTATTGCTTGCGATATTCAATTGAAACTTACAATACTTATTTATAGTAACAAGGTACATCAGATTGAGAAGCTGGATAACTCTGCCTACAATATTGACAGAATAATGCCCCTTTTTAAATTTTGGTTAAAGTTTTTTTGTAAAGTCAAATATCTCAATTATTGCTTGAGATATTCAACTGAAATTTACAATACTTTTTTATAGTAACAATGTACATCATTTTGCAAAATTGCATAACTCTGTCTGCAATATTTGCAGAATTATTTGCCCCTTTGAAACTTAGAAATTTTGGTTAAAGGTTAAAGGTCTTCAAAGATATTTACTTGAAACTTTACACATGTACAGGGTCATAATTTGAGGGTCATAACTGTATGTCACTGACCAAGTTCCATAACTCTATCTTGTATTAAGGCTGATTCATATCCCCTTTTCTACTGTCTCCTGGTTAATGTTTACATGCAAGTTTTACATATCTCAATAACTATTAAAGATATTTATTTAAAACTTCACATATGCATTTAGGGTCAGAATTGTAGGTCACTGACAAAGGTCCATAATTCTATCTTGCATT